TACAGATTAGCCTACTAATAGAAAAAAAAAACAAACCAACAGACATTATCTCAGCACTATGCTACTTAATAAAGATCTAATTGAGCATATACATGTATTATTATATTAGTTACATGACATACAGATGATAGGTATTACCTAAGGATAGCCCATAAAAGCTTTTTTTAAAATCTTATTTCCAGTGGGGTCCTTAAATTACAAATATGTTAGTAACAAAAAAATTACATTAATGTTAATAATGGAATTTAGGCAGGGTACTTGAATGAATATAGCATAATGCTTTGAAAAATGACATGTTTCTCATTACACATTTACCTTAAAAATTATCACAATAATGCTTATAAAACTAAAATAAAATTAAATAGAAATAAAATGATATATACATGTATTAAAAACATGGTTTAATCTTAATTGTTTAACTCTATCTTCCACTCTTAACATATTCAGAGAGTCTAAACACACTAAATAGGATATGTGGGGTCATGACCCCCCAGAGGTCATTCCCAACCCCTAAAACTTCAAATGATCATATACATTGTATCTTGAAAATGGTTGAAAACTCTTCCCTTAACCATATATAATATTGTCCCTCGAGTCATTATGCATTTTAAATGGTATAAAGGTTATGACCCTTGAAGTCATCCTCACCCTGAAACTGGAAATGATCACAATATGACCTGCGTCAAAAGTGTGTTAGTGATAATCTGCTTGACATTTTATTCAGGACCCCCTAGGGTCAGTCCACCCTCCTAGAATTAGAAGATGAAAATCATTCAGAGATCATTATACTTTGTGTACATGTACATTTTTGTATTATTCACAGTTTATTTTATACCAAAACAAGTTATAAATAATCTGTATAAATAAACGAGCCTGGGGCTGGGAAGCTGGAAAAGGGGAAGGGGTTATGTCTGCATGGTCTTAAATGTTGAAAACTCCTAAAATTTGTGAATATTAACCCGGCCGTTTCCCACTTGTCATCATTATTTACTAATCTTCTCACAACATACATGTGTCTTTATTAAATCAATAGATCATAGACTTTTTTGGTCACATGCCTAGCTCTCCCTTGAATCAGGAATGGTGATATAAATATTTTAAGAATGATTAAGAATTAAAACAGGTCTTGCACAATCTCTTAAAATTGATTAAGCTCTGCAGTTGAATTAGCTATACTGGTATAGCTTGGTTTTGCTATTCAAAACACTTGATTTAGCTATTTAATCATACTTTTTTTTAATGTACATTTTTATCAATATTTTTTTACCTTGACCTTTCCTTTGACTTGACCTCACTTTTCTTAAATTTGTGTCAAAATTCATAAATGGGAATATACACTTCTCCAGAACCACTGGGCCAATTTCAAACAAACTTGCCATAAAGCATAATTGGATAAAGGGGGTTCAAGTTTGTTCAAATGAAGGGCCACGCCCTTTTCCAAGGGGAGATAATAAGGAATTGGTGAAAATTTGGTGTCATCTTTTAAAAATCTTCTTCTCAAGAACCATTGGGCCAGAAAAGTTGAAACTTTTGTGAAACCTTTGTTACATAGTGTAGATTAAAATTTGTTCAAATCATGACCCCTGGGGGTAGGGTGGGGCCACAATGGGGGTCCAAGTTTTACATAGGAATATATAGAAAAAATTCTTTAAAAATCTTCCTCTCAAGAACAACAAAGCCACGATTAGTCATATTGATATGGAATCATCCCCAGGTAGTGTAGATTCAAATTTGTTCAAATCATGACCCCCTGGGGGTAGGGTGGGGCCACAATAAGGGGTCAAAGTTTTACATAGGAATACATAGGAAAATTCTTTAAAAATCTTCTTCTCAAGAACAACAAAGCCACTTAGTCATATTGATATGGAATCATCCTTAGGTAGTGTAGATTCAATTTGTTCAAATCATTACCCCTGGGGTAGGGTGGGGCCACAATGGGGGATCAAAGTTTTACATAGGAACAGGGATAGTCATCAACTTGCAGATTCACTTGCCCTATGGGCAAGTGAACTCAAACTTTGACTTGTCCGAATACAAAATTGTTTGCCCAAAATTTAGAAAGAAGGGAAACCGATAACTTAATTTATTATTGTAAATAAAGTGAGATATTTTTTTTTTTATATTTGGCAAGTTAAGTGCCAGAAAAATATCTTGATGTGCAGGTGATGCTACATTTTAAATACTTGTAAACTCACACTGCCATGCAGCAATATCTCCTTTTAAATAAAATTCATATTTTTGAAAATTATTTTCTTAATGATCTTTTTGTGAATTTAGATTTTTTCCCCTTGAAAAACTGAAGCCACGCTAAAGAAAAACATTGGCCATGTTTTGAAACATAAATATCCTAATCAGAATACATCGTGTGTCGAGAATAACTGGTTTTCTTTATGTTCTGTGAGTAAATAAATGAGTTATTTTTAAATATCATA